CAACAGTATTTTAAGCAAGGTAATACAGAGGATTTCCTTAAGATATATGAAGCAGCATGTGCAGGTATAATTATTTTTTTGTGTTAATATTTAAATTTGACATTATACATTTGTTTATATATATACAGGGGCTATTCTAATATAAACATATGGGTGGCGGTACGTTTCTGTCCCAGAGAAATTTAGCGGAAATATTTCTGAATATCAGCATTTTTTTGCGGAAAAAACATTATTTGCCATAATAAACATTAAAAAAAGACCTTCAATTTTTAATTTGGGCAGCGCTCAAATTGGCACATAAATACATTCAACACTGTCAAAAACAGTCTACAATAGCCCCTGATATATATATATATATATATATATATATATATATATATATATATATATATATATATATATATATATATATATATATATATATATATATATATATATATATATATATATATATATATATATATATATATATATGTATATATGTATATATGTATATATGGCCTGGACTGTTTTTGAGACATGGTGTATGTGGGCAACTAACCATGGTTCATTTTTACTGATAAAATGAACAATATTCTGTTACCCCTCTCTAGCAAATCTCAACAATTGTCTGAGGGACAGCAATGTACGACACTTATTTTGACCATTGTATATTTAAGTAAATATAATTTTAATATATGTACAAATATTTATATATTATAATTAAATGGTATTAGCAGGCCTTGTTTTAAAGTGTCAAGTGTAGAGCGATTTACGTTTGCCTTAAGCGATTTTTATGTAAGCAAGTCTTTTAGAGGTTGGCATCAGGTTGCAAAAAAATTTGATACAAAGGTCTCACCATAAAACATACAAATGAGGCTTTTAGGTCGGCAGTTAGTTTGCCATTGCCGAATGCCGACCCTAATTCCAAAGGTTGCATAACTTAATTCTGATAATATATATGATTTAATTTAAAATATACGATTTAATTTAAAACTATTTCAATAAACATATATACTTTTATTCCAATAAAAAAATAAGTTTATTAAAATTAAAGTTAATTCTTGGGTTTAACTTAATTCTCAAATCTATTTAAAAATATTACTAAATATTGTTCAATTTTTAAATTTTCTTCTCAAAAAAAATCAGCCTATTTTTGTCGCAATTGTTTTTTTCAGTTTTCCTTCCTAAACTTTTCTTTTTTCACTCAAAATTAAATTTTAAATAACAGCTGCATCAAAGGTTTGAACAAAATGTAAGTTAAATTTTTTTTTTTTTTAACACAAATTAAATTTTTTTAATAAACGATATATTCAATGATGTAATTTTTATAATAAAACAATAAACTAATAAACTTTAAATAAATAAAGTAAATAAATTAACGTAATTTTTGTATTTGCTACTCTCTATTTTTTTTTTTAAGTAAAAAATCATTTGTAGTTAGAAATTTAAGAAATAATCATTTAAGAAAGTTTTTTACAGCAAGACTGAAATTTCTGGGAAATGGGAAAATTTTATGGGGTATCATTAAACCCCATATTTAAATAAAGTCTTTTTTGGACTAAAAAAATATATACTGTAGTAGAGTATTGGTAAAACTTTTAGCTCCACAATCAAGAGCTTGGAAGTTCAAATCCATCCTATGCCACTATAGGTACTGTGCTTAACCTTTCTCAGCACAGCAGCCTTGTTTTGCAGATTTGTGTTTGGAGTTAAGGTTTCAGCAAGAGTTTCAAATAAAAAAAGCAAGTAGCCTTTTAGTAGCAAGAAATGCTTGTTTTTAAAGTTTGTATACTTGCTTATTTGTATAATTATTTAAAAAATGAATAAATAGAAATTCTTTTGGTACATTTCAATGTGTATTTCAATACCTACTCATATTTTTAAAATTGTGTACGCTTGAATTGTTTTTCAAAATTTAAATTTTAAATTTAAAGAATATGAAATGTTATTTTTTTTAAATAACTGTTCTATTTTATTTTAAGACAACTTTGCAACACCGAACCTTGAATATAAAGAATATCAACAAGACCAAATGGTTGTTTTGGATTCGCTGGCTGCATATTATGTGCAAGCAGGTCGAAAAGAAAAAGAAGCTGAGAAAAAACGGGAGTTATTTACAAAAGCAACACAGTTATATACAACAGCTGATAAAATTATTATGTTGGATCAGGTTTTCTTTTAATATAAATAAGTATATATTCTTTTAATATATATATATATATATATATATATATATATATATATATATATATATATATATATATATATATATATATATATATATATATATATAAACAACCCTTGGAATTAGGGTCGACATTTGGCAATGCCGATCTAACTGCCGACCTATAAGTGTTTGAGGTCAGCAAAAAATGTTGACCTTGTTTCTATGTTTTATGGTAAGACCTTTGTATCAAATTTTTTTGCCAACCTGATGTCAATCTTTAAAAGATTAGATTGGCAAATTATTGCCAACCTCATTTTTTCTTATTCCAAGGATTGTATATAGTTTGTAATTTTTTTAAATTTAGTATTTATAAGTTTATTTATAATATTTATAGTTTATATTTCATTTATTATTTTTTATCATAAATTCTACAAATATTTTAAACCTTTTCAAAGTGTTTAATAAAATTTAAATAAAAATTAAAAATGTTACTTTGATATATTAATATAAAGGATTTTTTTTTTATTAGAATCATTTGCTTGGGAGAGCATACTTTTGTTTGTTAGAAGGAGATAAAATGGATCAAGCTGATGCACAATTTAACTTTGTCCTTGCTCAGGTTTCAGATTTGCAAGTTTTTTATATATAGATTTGATCATTGTAGAGTGCTCAATATTTAAGAAATATTTAGTTTTTCAAAAACAGAGCGTTTTATACTTAAATATAGAAAAAACAACTTTTAATGGAATATATATATATATATATATATATATATATATATATATATATATATATATATATATATATATATATATATATATATATATATATCTATATATATATATATATTCCATTAATATATATATATATATATATATATATATATATATATATATATATATATATATATATATATATATATATATATATATATATATATATATATATATATATATATATATATATATATATATATATATATATATATATATATATATATATATATATATATATATATATATATATATATATATATATGGTAGCCACAGTCCTGGAAAGTCCTGGAATGTCCTGGATTTTTGCAAGTGTCCTGGAATGTCCTGAATTGTCCTGGAAAATTACATTTTTTTCAAAAATGTCCTGAAACTTTTTTTTTCCTGAGTCAAGTTAAAAAATTACTAAGAATATTGAAGTAATATTAAATTTTTTATGCGAAAATTTTTTTTATATAAATGGTTTGAATTTAGTTTTAAATAAGAGAGTAATAATTGTATAATAATATAATAATATAATATTCTATTCTATAATTCAATCAATATGAAAAAAATATACCGTAAAGATAATTGATAATATTCATTTAATAAGATATAAAATGTCCTGGAAAACGCAACAAAATGTCCTGAAATGTCCTGGAAATGTCCTGGAATTTATATATATATATATATATATATATATATATATATATATATATGCATACACAATATATATATATATATATATATATATATATATATATATATATATATATATATATATATATATATATATATATATATATGCATACACACACAATTAAAAATATAAATTAAAAAATAACTCCCTTTAAATAAAATTAAAATCAACTTAGAAGTTTAAAAAAAGTAAACCAGTTGTTGCTTTTTTGAATTGTTGATTGTATAATTTTTGTGCCATCCTTCCTTTTTTATTATACGTTTTGTAGTTATTAAATAAATGTTTTCAAAAGTTTTTTAAATTTTTACTAAAAGTTTTCAAAGGTTTTTTTTAATATTTTTAATTTTTTTTTTTTAGTCAGCCAGTAATATACCTGCTTTGCTTGGTAAGTTTTTTAATTATTTTGTATAATAGAGGGAAAGAAAACAGCGTTTAAAAATATTTTTTTAATGAAAAATAGTTTATTTTTTTTTCAAGGTAAAGCATGCATATCTTTTCAAAAGAAAGATTACAAAGCTTCACTTGCATATTACAAAAAGGCACTTAGGACAAATCCAAATTGCCCAGGTTTCATTTTATTATTATTTTAGTTCCAAAAAAAAAAATTAATAATGTAATACAAGTTAAATATAAATTTATTAAGTAAATAAGGACTGTTTTGCAAATAATGTAATATAAATTTAGTAAGCAAATAAAGACAGGTATGCAAATAATGTAATATAAGTTTAGTAAACAAAATAAGTTACCATTATATTTGACGTTCAACAAGTATCAGTAATGAATGCCATTAAATTGAAGACAAATAAACGCCATTATGGTACTCAAGGGATTAGCTAAAACTCAGTTTAATTGTTCAGAGACTGATTGGCACTAAAGTTTCTTAAATTCTTTTATAGCTTTGATAGTGAAATTTCACGTGCGATTTCACGTCTTTACATGACCACGCAAAAAAAAAATGTTTAAACGATTTGACCACGGCATATTTTTAAAATTTAAAAACGCGCTACAAAATCTTATCTGAAAAAAAAAATTAAAGAAAATAAAAAAAATACTTAGTTAAATTAAAAACACAAAAATATATATATATATATATATATATATATATATATATATATATATATATATATATATATAACGCAACTAAAACAAAACTCATGAAACTAAAATGCTTAGTCTATTTAATTAGCGCATTAAAAAACCTTTCAATCTTTGATTCAAAATTTTTATATATTTTTTATTTATTTAAAATGTTCAAAAGTTAAATATTTCTCATAAAAAATACATAGTTATATAAATAAAACAAAAAAACATTTTATAAATAATTTTTTTTGAATTAATTAGAAGTGTTTTTTTTTTTACTTCAGTAAAAGCGTTGCAATAATATAAAAGCATTTAAGATCAAACTTATTAAGTTGTAACAGTTTTCTATAACCTTTTTTTTAATGAAATTTTGTTTATCTTTTTAAATGCATTATTTTTAATCATTCTTATATTTAAATTCGTTAAAGAGACTTTCGTAGTCATAGAATGTCATCGTTTATAAAAACAAAATAATTTTTTATTTTTTAATAAGGTTTATTTTAGAAATGAACACTTAAACAATTTATATTTTTTAAATTAAAAAAATATATACAAATGTCAATTATACTTAAAAAACAAAACTTTTTTTCAGTAAGTTGTTTTAAAACTTTATTTAAAATCATTTCGCTAATATAAAAACATTTGTTAAGAAGTTTTGATTAATTTTTTAAAAAAAATTTTGATTAATTAATTTCACTTTTTTATAATATTTTTTTATTTAGCGCGTTTCTAAAATGTTTTTTGGATTAGCCGTGGTCAAACCGTCATAGCAAAATGTAACTTGCGTGGTCATATAAAGACGTAAAATTGCACGTCTTCTTGTATAAGCCTGATTGTGGTTGCCTTTTTTTTTCATTTTTGATTTCATTCTCTAACTTTATAAATCTCTTATATGTCCTTGTATGGAATGCTGTTGTCAAATTTGAGTGTGTTTTTCTAATAATGTTCTTTCTTTTTTTGACTAAGTCTAAATATGCATTGAAAGTATTGAATTTGCTCTAGCTGAGAAGAGCTGTTGATCTTGTTCTAGCTAAAAAGTTGAACTTGTTTTTGCGGTGAAGAGCTCTTGATCTTGTTCCTTGTTCTAGCTAAAAAGTTGAACTTGCTAAAGCTAAGAAAAGTTGTTGATCTTGCTCTAGTTAAAAAGTGGAACTTGCTCTATCAGATAAAAGTTGTTGATCTTGCTCTAGCTAAAAACTTGAACATGGTCTTGCGGAGAAGAGCTGTTGATCTTCCTCTAGCTAAAAAGTTGAACTTGCTCTAGCTGTCAAGCTTGAGCCATTGTCTCATTGTCCTAAGGTTGTATCTCTTTTTTAATTTTTTTTTTTTTTTACATCTACACCTAAGGTTGCATCTCTTTCTCTTTTTTTTTTTTTTTCTTTTTACAAATGCTACTTATGCTGCTAAAGCAAACTTTCATTTATTGTCATTTGACAATGATGTCAATGAATTTTTTTCACTGTAAGTATTCCATTGTGGTTAAAAAATATTTATTCATCTAGTTTTTTTACTTGGATTTAGATGTTAGAGAATTCTTTGGAATTCTCTAACATCTCTCATCTTTATGTTTTTTAAACTCATATAGTTTACAATTTTCTAAAAACTTCCAGCCTAAAAAGTGGTTGCTTAGAACCTTGTTAAAAATGATTTTTTTTTTTTTAATAAAAAAGAAAAAATAATATATAAACATGTTCAAAACAAACTTTATAAAAACTTTTATTTTTTGTTATATATTTTTATTAATTGTTGATTTCAGCTGAAGTGCGTTTAGGCATGGGTCATTGTTTTTATCGTCTTAATCGAATGGAAAAAGCTCGATTAGCATTTGAAAGAGCATTGGCTTTGAATAGTCGATGCATAGGTGCCTTGGTTGGACTTGCTATACTTGAACTGAATTCAAAAAAGGTAAATAAAATTAAGTCAAACCAATGACTACCATACCTAAAAATTCAAAAAGAGGTAAAATAAGAAAATTTTTAGGTTTTTAAATCTATAAAATAAATTATTGTAATAAAAATGTTTCATAAAAGAAAATTTTGTTATACTTGTTTTAAGTAGTTTTTTTATTTCTCTTTCTCTTAGCCGGACAGCATAAAAGTTGGAGTGCAGTTATTATCTAAAGGATATGCTATTGATAGTCAAAATGCCATGGTTCTCAACCACCTTGCAGAACACTTTTTCTTTAAAAAGGTTCATTTTTTTATATATGAGTTGTTTATTTTGAAAGTGGCATAAGTCACCTTTTCAAAAAAATCAAGTTATCAATAGGAGTGATTACAATATAATGGTATCTCTTTGTGAAATAATTTAAACCAATTGTGTTAAAAATTATTGAGATATTTTGAAAAGAAGTTTTGCTAGTCAATCATATAATGCAGGCTTGGTCCGGAAGCGGGAGCGATCGCTCTTGATTGCTGACCACGTAAATAATATTTAGTTGCGAAAAGCTAGCCAGATTTTTTAGTCATTTTGAGAACATTTTAAAAAGCAAAAAAAAAAAAGTGACAGATTAATTGGATCGATGAGAGACAATTACAAAAATAAAAAAAATAGGCAAATAAAATATCTTTAAACACGAAAAAACTTAAAGCTAAATAAATTACATTTAGAACAAATATTTTCAAAACATCGCTCTTTTATAATTTTTTTTATAAAATTAAGTGGTGTTTTTTATATAAAGTAGCAACTTACGATTGTTTAAAAGGGAAACAAATATTCTTTATTTAACTAAGTTTGCAAGTTTTAGTTTTACTTAGGCTAAATTATTTTATAAATAAAAAAGTTATTTTTTTAAATACCTATTTTATGTTTCGCGTAGTTTGAAAAGTTTAACATATTTGAAGCGATTCTTCTTAGTAAGATAAACAAATGAAATAATTAAATCATTGAATTACTATAGGAATTAAATTATCAAGATAGAAATCAACTAAAAAGGTTAAAAATACTTAATGACCAGGAAGCGAAACTGCTTCACAATATCGCTGATGATTTTTAGTGAGTGGGCTTTTTAATTTTAATTAGTATTCAAAGCAGAAAAAAGTATAACGAGTTTTAAGAATGGCAACTTTAGCGAAAATAATTTAATAAGTTAGTAAACCAATATCTAGAAACTTGTTTTTATATCTAATTATTTGCTATATATATTTGTGTTCTGTCATGACCTCAGTCGCGATGCTTGTTTATCCGCAAGTTACTTTGTATGCGTTGTTTGTGTTTAGTAACCAGAAACTTCTTATATGTTTGTTACATAATTAGTTTTATTAACTTTAACGATTATAACTTCATTGAAAACACAATTATTTTTGTAAGTCTTTGTTTAAATCATAAAAATTGCTTTAAAAGATACATTATGATAAAAAACAAATACACAAAATTACATTTACATAAAGAATACAATAAATTCTATGATTTATAATAAACTTTTAAAATTTTAACAATTTAATTAATATATATTTAAAACATTTATTTTCGTAAACCAATAATATATATTCTTAAAACAATGCTAGAAATGTCAAAACGTAACAAATCGTGAATAATACAATTTCTAAAACATTTTAACAGAATACTCTAGAACTTTATTTCGCTTAATCAGCGTATTTTTTGAACCAATAGAATTAGTTTGTTTGTTAATTTGGCAGGTTTTTAGTGTTTGCAAATATTCTCTTTATTCTTTCGCACAAAGATGTTTTGAAAACATTCAAGTTTTTTATGTTTCCATGTATGTCCGTAAAACAAATATTTTTTGTTTCGTACATAAACTTAAATGTTCTCAAAACGACTAAAAAACTTGGCCAGTTTTGCGCAACTAAATATAATTTCCGTGGTCAGTATTCGAGAGCAATGGCTCCCGCTTCCTGACCAAGCCTGATAATGGTATATGTTAAAATACAAACCTTTAAAGTTCTCTGTTTAAAAACAAAGTGACTTATGCCACTTTCAAAATAAACAAGTCATCTAAAAGTTTAAGTTTAGTTCTTTATTAAAAATTAAAAAAAATGTTTTCAATTTTTAACCAGGACTATGCTAAAGTTCAACATTTAGCCTTGCATGCATTTCATGGAACTGAAGTCGAAGCCATGCAAGCTGAAAGTTGTTATCATTTAGCACGTTCATTTCATGTTCAGGTTAGTCAAATATAAATAAAAACTGCAAAACTCTTTTAAGAGATATTTTGAAGTTTTTTAAATTTTAAATTATATTTATTTACTTTATTATAGTGAGACTAAAATTGTATTTATTACTTTAGGGAGATTATGATCAGGCCTTTCAGTATTATTATCAAGCAACTCAATTTTCAGCTCCTAACTATGTGCTGCCATGGTTTGGATTAGGGCAAATGTATATAGCTAGAGGTGATACAGTCAATGTAATGTCATTTCTTTAGTTTATATTATCTATTAAATCTCAAAGTTTCTTACAAATAGAATTTAAGAATGAAAATACCTAAAATTAGGATGTAGTATTAAATAAGTTGTTAGTATGGATCATCTATGACAAGTAAGAAAGGGTTTATCTCTTTTCTATTTCAAATGACTTTTTTAATGTTAAACCAAGTTTGTATTGCAAAGAAGCTGTAAGCTTCTTCATGAAAATAATGATAAATATTTTTATGATAAAGAATTAAATATTCTGTTTTATAGAATTTAAATTATTGCTCAATTATTATCATTTTAATATTATATTACATAATAAATAATACAACTAATCAATTATACTTAACATTTAATTACTCATGTAATCTAATTCTCTCTCTCATATATATATATATATATATATATATATATATATATATATATATATATATATATATATATATATATATATATATATATATATATATATATATATATATATAATGAGCAATTTTAAAAAGTATTCTACAAAATACAATACTCATTGTTCTTTAAAGAACATATATATATATATATATATATATATATATATATATATATATATATATAGTATATATATATATATATATATATATATATATATATATATATATATATATATATATATATATATATATATATATATATATATATATATATATATATATGTTCTTTAAAGAACAATGAGTATTGTATTTTGTAGAATACTTTTTAAAATTGCTCATATATATATATATATATATATATATATATGTATATATATATATATATATATATATATATATATATATATATATATACATATATATATATATATATATATATATATATATATATATATATATATATATATATATATATATATATATATATATACATATATATATATATATATATATATATACAAGGCTTGTGATGAAGAAAATCGTAAAATTAGAATGTTTTTTATCGAGCGTGATTATGTGTGCTTGAGATAACGTTGGCGAGCGTGATCATGAAAATTGCTGAAGACGATGCTCATAAAAACCTTTTTATTTTTTATATCTTTTTTTATTTGTTACATCATTCTTTTGTCAACAAATGTTTGAATTAGTATCACGCTTATGAAACTACTTCAACGAGGTAGATTTTTATACTTCCAAACTTCTTGCATATTGTTTGTGTCAGATTTTTTTCTTCAGTTTTTATGGTAAAAAAAAAATATATTAAATAAAAATGCAACTTTTTATTGATTAAGTATTAAAGTATAATTTTAGTTTTTTGCTTATGTTGTTTAGATATATTTATTTAAAAATGTTACGCTGTAAACTTAATTTGAAAATCTTCTTTTTTAAAAACTATTTGTTTTAAGTTAAATAACAGATTTTCCCCTCAACTGTTGTCAACGGTGTTTCCTCTTCTACATTTTCGAAACTGAATGCAGCTAATTTGTCAGTCATGTCTTCATCAGCACTGTCTATTTCATCATCATCATCAAGAACTCGATTTGTAATCAATGTTGTTGCTGTTGTCATATAGTCAACTGGCTCATCATCAACTTAAACCACTTGTCTCTTATTCAAATAAATTTCTTTTGCTCGCTTTTTAATCAGGATTATTTCTTCTTTTGACCAGCTTCCATGGTTTTCTAATATCATAATACTATCATTTAGTGTTGTGATTCATAGATAAATGTTGACCTGATAGTATGCTAGTTACTGTGCTAAACATTCGCTTCACGCTTGAGTTTGATCTGGAAATTGCCAAGAAAATCGATATAACTTTTAATAAATTAGGAAACTTTGACTTTTTGTTCAAGAACGTCGACCTCCAAATTTCTTTTGTCTGGCAATTGTGTACCATTGCTTCAAGATTGATTCTTGAATGAATCAAAAATAATTTACATTCTTGGAAAACAAGTTTTTTATTAAAATTGGAATGTTCCAATGGTGTTTTAAAAATGCATGGACAAAAACTTCATTTCCTCCAAGCCAAACTCTTTGTCATCAGTCCAGTTCTGCGGATCGATGAGCGGCATGGCGTGATAAATCTCAGACTCTTCCTTTATGCTTTAAAATCTGCTGTTTAACGTATTTATAAATCTGGGTATAACCTTTCTCTTAATATTTCTGACTAAGCATAATGCTTGATCTACGTCAACCATAGTCATATCTAAGTTTACTATTATATACTTTCTATTACTGGGATGTTTTCGTTTGTCGCCAACTTTATTAAACTGACCAGACAGTGCTTCAGGTAAGTTATGTTTTCCCTCAATAACCATGTAACGTGATACATAGCTATCTAAAAATTCTAAATCTGTATCGATTTCTTTAAGCTTCAATTCCAGTTCTAAATTTGTTCGGTTGATTGTAGCTAGAATATCATGCGGCAACAGTTTGTTTGCTTCAAACACTTTCAATGCTGGCACAATGAGCTCTAGCAAATCATGATAAACGACAACAGTGCAAAGAAAATTATATTAAAATATGATTTGAATTTCTTTAGTAACCCTTGAACCTTTGCTCTTGTAGTTAGTGGGTTTTTACATTCATTTACATAGTTCTCGTAGGCCACTATAAAAGCTGGCCAGGACTCCAATAAATTCTTAAAAGCTCTTATATGATGGCCAACAAACCTCATTCCTGTTATTTTTGGTAGAGTGTAATGCGTAATACCTAAAATATTTAATCTAGTTTAATATTTAAAAATTAAATAGTTTACATTTATCTTAGAAATAAAAATCCCAGATAATGTAGAAAGGGTAATCTTGTAATGTGTTTTCACTATGAGCCAAGTTCTTGAAAAATAAAATGATTAACTAAAATATAAATTACGGTTTTAAGCTGCAACGTTTAACCACAAACTTTAAGGTAAACTTTACCTAAAGCTGCAGATGCATTTATTACTTCTTGTTTTATTTTTCCCGAGTTTCGAAGCAGATAAAAATTTGTATTCTAAAATTCATCAACTTTCTTTAATTTAGAGATCTTTGAAAAACCTCTTTAACTGCCAGTTCGACTCTGTGGTTGACACAATGAACAAGAAGTAGCCATTTTTTATCTGCCTTTATTTGCGCTATGACACTGTGATATTTTACAAAGTTTACACTTACACCATCGGATGTTATACTGACTAATTTGTTTTTGTAGTCATTGGAGTCTAGTTTAAATTCGCCGGTTTCAAAAATGTTATTGGTTCCCTTGACAATGGAGTCTGCTTCTCTGCCAAACCTATCAATATCAACTAGATCCAAAATCATATAAAAAGAAGAACCACATCTTTCAATTCTTGCCAAAACTAACTCTTTTTCTTTCTTTGTTTTTTGAGCTTAGCTAGCATAGCACAAAATTGAGAAGAATTGAGCTTCTTTCAGGATATTGGCACATTTTTCATGAACAGCCATCGCAATGCATTTTACGAATTCACACCCGCTAGCGCCATTTTCGTTGCGTTTGATCATTTTAACACCATTGATCTTACAGCTCTTTACCTAAACATTTATCGTAAATGATGTATTATATTTTTCGATTTAAAGTTAAATTTACAATCAATTAGTAAAATTTACAAAGTTGGAAACATACGAACCATTTTTTATTTGAACCAACAATTCAATACTTTATCTAAAATATTTAAAATTGTCAACATATCGATACTTACAATAACAGCAAAGTTTTTGTGTGGCATCAATGGCAGAAGGGCCATTTCATAGGCACAGTTCACAAGTCTTATATACGCTTCATCCGTTAAAACTTTAAACAAAGTAGATATATATATATATTTTTTTTAAACATCTTCCTTTCTAACAAGGCTGCAAGCAACCACTAATTAGTTACTGGAAGAGAAAAGATGAAGATTGTAGAGCGAGATAACCATTGACAGACGACTTAAAAGATTGCAAATTATATGAATCAGGAAAGCAAGATGAAGGAAGCGAATTCCAAAGAACTGATGTTCGAGGAAAAAAACTAGACGAATAAGAGTTTTTGGAGCACCTAGGAACAGTAACAGAAAAAGGATGAGACTTAATTGAATGACGAGTAACACGAGAATGAATTTTAGTAGATGGCACAAGAGACGCTAGCTCTTTAGAGCAGTGCCCATTATAGTATTTGTAGAAAAGAGAAAGAGAAGCAACATTATGGGGGTGTGACAGTGGTTGAAGGTTGGCTGCAAGAGCAGGTCCAACTATGTTTACAATGTGTTTTTGCACCTTGTCTAAAAGAGAAAGGGCATTATTAGACAATCCGCCCCAGATATGGCAACAGTATTCCATACAAGGCCGGATTTGAGATTTATAGAGATGGAGAATAGAATCCAGAGTAAGAAAGTGTCGAGCTCAATAAAAAGATGCAACTTTAGCAGATGCTAATTTTGCAACAGATTTTATATAAGTTTTCCAAGAAAGATCAGAAGTAAGAGTTTATTCTAGAAGATGAAAGGTAGGAGACTCAACTAGTACATTACCGTTCATAAATATAGGAAGGTCTAAATTATTGCAATAACTATTGGCTGAAAAAAGTTTTATCTGAATTAAAGTTCACCAGCCACTGTGAGCCCCATGCTGTAGCAGAAGTAAGATCCTTTTCAAGCTCAGATGCCCCCTGCAAGCAATCAGAGTGAGTTGGCTTCTTATCGTGACAAGAATAAATGGTAGTATCATCAGCGAACAATGCCACCTTAGATGTGAGAATATCTGGAAGATTGTTAATGTAAATTAAAAAGAGTATAGAGCCAAAGATTGAACCTTGGGGAATCCCTGAGGTTACAGAATAAGAAGAAGTGTGCTGTCCATCAAGGACAACTTTTATACTACGATTGGAAAGGAAGGATTCAATAATCTTAAAGGTGTTTCCAGATACACCGTAAGAAGAAAGCTTATGGAGAAGACCAGCATGCCAAACTTTATCCAACGCTTTAGAAATGTCAAGAGCAAGGCACTTGTGTCTAAAAAACAAAAGAATATTACAATTACAAAAATACAGTTTCCTCAAAATTTTACTTTATGCAGTACCAATCTTAATTGAATCGTAGTTTAAACTTTTTCTATAATATATTTTATAAACATCGATTTCATTTATTTTTTTTAAAGGAAAAAATGTTCAAGCTTTTTTTACTAATGTTAAGTAATCGTTTTTGACTTTTTTTAATGTTAGAGTTGAATGAATAATAAAAAAGAGTTATCAAACTTTGATTTATGCAACGTAAGTGTCTTTAGTTATAAATGCTAGTTTCATCTGCGTCGTTAAAAAAAGAATTTTGAAAAAAAAAAACGTTGTTCAAAAAAAGTTTCTTTTTGTTTAATCAAGTTTTTTTAGGTTTAATTTTTTTCTTTTGTTGACAAATTTTTTAGGTTATTTTTTTTTCCAACACATTTTAGAAATAATTAAATATCAACATTTAACATTAACATAAACATCATCAAACATTTACAAATGTGTAAATGCTTGATGGCCAAATCATTGAAACAAAATATATTAATGGTGTACAATCACACGACTTCCTGATCAAGTCTGCAACAAACGATGCTTTAACACAGTTCAAAATGAAGATATTAGAATCTGGTAAATAAGAATAAAAAATCTTTATTTCAAAGATAATAATTTATTACCTTAAAGGATTTTGTATTTTGTATTCCATCGGTTGGCGTAACACATCTCTCATTTGAGGGTTTCTCTTATTACCTCTTCAACTTTCCATTTAATAAATGTTGACATCATTACTTTGTTTCCTTTTAGAATGTCCTTGATTGCGAACATTCTAAACAACAGAATTGTTTTAAATTTGAGTTAAGAATAAATAATAGTTAATAAAAAACCTATACTATGAACAAAAACTAATTTTAAAAATTACTTTATTATTAATATTTATTTTTATTATGTTATATTTTTATTGTGGGTCCATGTGCACCTTCCATTATTGAAATTAGTGACTTAACGACTTCAAACTACTCATTCATTACGTTTGTGCAAAAGAGAATGATGTAGTGCTTTTTATATTTTATATCAGTGCTTCGATAATATAATATCTTTACTAAAAATTCTTTTTTATTATATTTTATTTAAATAAAATAAAAGCTTATTATTTTTTTTATCCCGAACTCTTGGACAAGCGTTATTTTATAAGCTGAATGAGCGATGTTTATCGCGCCTAGAATGTTTGAAAATACTCTTTACGGGCACGTTTTACAAGCAGAATTTCAAAATTCAACAAATTGTCTTTAAAACAGAACATGTTTCCATAAGTAAAACATTCAAAAATTAAACTTTAGTAACTTTAAAAACAGATTAAAAAGTTAAAAAACACATACTATTTATAAATCAAAGTATATTCAATAATTATATCATTTATAATAATGATAATAGAAGATTCAAAAATATTTCAGAAATTTATAAAAGTAAAATAGGAAATAAAAAAAACTAACAGCGTGTAAAATAGGAAATATGAAAAACTAACAGCGTATCTACAACGCCTCCTTCATTATAAGATAAAGGCATCCAAGTTGGCTCTACCAATATTTCGGTTTAAAATGTTTAATGGGGGCGTGGTCAAATAGCTTTAAAATTTGAAATTTCTTTATTACCTTAATTTTATGTATTTTATGCAATTTTATGCAAAACAAAGCAACTTTCTTTTGAAACAAACTTTTTTTCATTAAAAGCGTTTTACTTTGTATTTTAGAAAAATCAAAAAGTGTTGATGGTAGGAATCGAACCTGAATCTCCTACCTTAGATCCTTGTGTGCTTACCACTCGACTATGCCACTCATTGATTATGGAGAATTTTAAAACAATAAAATATAATAAAAATTTTATCAAACGGAATTAAGTGCTACAGATCAAATCTTAAGGAAATGTTGCCGCAATGCAATTTTCAAGTGAAAGTAAAACTAAAAAGCTTGATATATGCTTTAGTATGTTTTAACATTACATAATTTGAAAAAAGTTTGATATTTGCGTAAGTTAGATATTAGCAAACACTTTCATTGACTTTTCTTATATAAAAAAGTTCTGTTACTCTTTCTAGCTATTACCTCGGTTGCAATGGCTGCCAAGAATATCGTGTCAAACTCTCCAATGAACATTGACATGTTTGCTATTATATAATATGATGATTATGCGAAACCCTTTTTAAATAAAGTAACAACTTACAACTGATAGTTATTTAACAAATATGCACATTAAAAAGTTTGAAAAGATGTTCTTAATTATTGATTTAATTCTTTGTACAAAAGAAAAAATAGTTGAATCGTTTATTTAAAAAATTGGTATAATTTTTTTTTTATTTAAAAACATTTATAATAAAAAATCAATACTAATATAAATATTAAAAATATATATATTTTTCATTAGTGTTTTTATAAAAAATCATTAGAAGTAATTTGTTACTTTATTTAAATGCATTATAAAAACGTAAGTAAAGATTAAAGTTATTTTATTTAATTCAAACAGCTTTAAAAAAAGTTTATTTTTTTCTTCTCAACAAAAACTTAAATGATTCTTATATAAAGTTTATTAAATGGACCTTCACTGTTTAAATCGTCATTTATAAAATTTAATTTTTTTTTAATTTTTACTTTTTTTTTTTACTTATAAAAAATCTTATATAACTAAATAATATGAATAAAAAATTATACAACTTTAAATGATACTTTAATTTAAAAGCGTTTTGCTATTATAAAAACATTAGTAAAGATAAACATGTCAAAATAATTTCTTTGTATTGTAATTAAAAACCAATTTTTTCAGCGCATTTTTTAAAAACCGTAATTAATAAAAACAAAATATTATTTGCGTGGTCATATAAAGACTTGAAATCACACGCCTTCGTGGCCAAGCCTATATATATATATATATATATATATATATATATATATATATATATATATATATATATATATATATATATATATATATATATATATATATATATATATATATATATATATATATATATATATATATATATATATATATATATATATATATATATATATATATATATATATAGTTTCCCATAAACTGTAGTTTTAAAGAGCGCGTTAATAAACCAGACCAGAAAAAGTTTAAAAACTTAATTTTTTTTTTTTTAAATGATAGACTGCCTGCCCAAACCAAACCCTCAGTCGATGTAGCAGCACTCCCTTGCGAGTCAGGCTATTTGTCAGTCGATGTAGCAGCACTCCATTGCGAGTCAGGCTATAAGATAGTCGATGTAGAAACACTCCCTTGTAGCAGCAGGCTATAAGATTGTATCAGCAGGCTATGTCGATGTAGCAACATTTACGCATGTTTTAAAAATGTTTTTTAATAAAACAAAAACAAAAACACCACTAATTAAAAAAAACTTTCTAGTCATTATTATTGCGGTTTTTTAAAAATTTTTTAAAAAACAATAAAATTTAATGTACTTCCGCATTAATTTAATTGCTTTGACATTTCGACGACAATCAAATACAGCTTAAGAGACGAGGTAATTAAAATTGTAGTCGAAAGAGACTTTTTTTTACATTAAAAGACTCTTTCGACTACACTATAAGGATATATATATATATATATATATATATATATATATATATATATATATATATATATATATATATATATATATATATATATATATATATATATATATATACACATATTTTGTGAAACTGTAGCTAACTTAAATTGCACTTAGATTAAAAACATTATATAATTTATTAGAGGAGGGGAAGTGTTTATCCACTGCAAAAAATTGTAATTGTAAATAATAAACTGTCCAATAAATGGAAAATTTTTATCAAAAATGTGGTATATAAATGTGCTGTTTCTCTTCTCAAAATCTACCTAATAAACAATATATTGACCTAACAGAGGGTAAATGGAAAAAAAACATTTTATAAGCAATAGAATTAAAAAGTTTTTTTTAAAAAAAAAAGTATTTAAAAAACACCATGCTGTCAAAATACACACGGGAATTGAAAGATAAAAATTATGATGATTTTATATTGAAGTGGTCCATCCTTAAAACAGCACATGTATATAAAAATATTTCCAAAAAATGCGTATTATGTCTACAAGAAAGTTATATATTAAAATTTATTATTATTAAGAATTATATATATAATAATATATATAATATATATATATATATATATATATATATATATATATATATATATATATATATATATATATATATATATATATGTATATATATATATATATATATATATATATATATATATATATATATATATATATATATATATATATATATATATATATATATATTGCTGCATCTCTACCTTAGTTTCCTAGTTTAACCATGTTTTTTTTATGATTTTTAATGAATTTTTTAAGGTTTTTAATGAGTAACTGAATAACTTCTTATAATAAATAACAGTTATATTTAATGATAAATGCTTTCAATAAATACTTGCTTTATTTAAGGCTTCACAATGTTTTGAGAAAGTCTTGAAGCATCAACCAAATAACTATGAGACAATGAAGATCCTTGGATCATTATACAGTTCATCTAGTGAACCAGAGAAGAGAGAGTTGGCAAAAGTAATGGATTTTCTGTAAAATAATTTTCATATAATCATTTTTATCACCAAGTTTTTGTTTTTATTTATTTTATTGTAAAAATATTCATTCTTAAGCTTTTTATTATTTAAAAATGTTTTATAACCAAATTTTTGTTTAATTTTTTATAAGATTGACAGAGTATTCTGTGTTTTGTTTTATTTTATTCTGTATATATTCTGTGTTTTGTTCTATTTTATTCTTTTATGTATTTTAAGTATATTTAATTTTTAACTTGCAAAAAAAAATTATTTTTTGTGTATTGTATACAAATATAGTTATTAAAATATTTTATAGGAATAATCTTATTTTATGGTATTTCAGTTTTTATTGTATTTTGCAATAATAAATTTTTTTAAACAAGACTATAATAATTGCTTAAATACCTTGCTGCAACCAAGTTGGGAACCAGATTATAAAATTTTTAAAAAGTATAAAAAGTATAGAATTATGAAATATTTTTTTTTTTTAATTTTCCAAAAAGTTATGTAAAATGGAAATCAACATTAAAATTTTTTTTTAAATTAGTTTATTAAAAATAAGTTACAAAAAAATAAAATATTTTTTATAAAATAATTTAAAATTTAAATAAAAGATGTTTTTAGTAAACAACAAATCCGTTGTTAAAATTATTTAAATATAATTTTTCTATAACAAAGAAAATTGTAAAAGGTCATTAGAAAAAAGTTGCTTTGAAAAATTTGGAATTCTTTGAGATGATTCAGGGTTACATTTGATAATTTTTATATAATTTAATATGATAATTTTTTTTTCAAATATAAATCTGTTTTGGAAAGGAAAATCAAGAAAAGGGCTGTGTGCTTTAATTACTTCACTTTTAAAGTTTAATTACCAAGTTAGTTTAAGTAAGAAACTAATAAAATTAGGTATATGTAATAAAACTTTTTTTATTTTTGTAATCAAGCATTTTTTTTAATACAAAGATGCATGAAGCTGTGATACAAGTTGCAATGAAATGATTAACAGAAGACTTAAAAAGCTATGTAAAATGTAGGTAAACAAAATTGTTGGATAGAATCCCATAACACTAATTTACATAATATCCAAATGAATAAAAGTCTTGAGCATGTCAATGTTTAATATCTATAAACATAAAGAAGATAACAAAAATGTTAACACCACAATGTGTTCTAACCAGATATGTAGGTCTGGAGACTCAAGTCTTTGTCTTGAGATGTCTCGAGACTCATATTCCACTGTCTTGGTCTTAAAGCTCATCTTGAAACTAAGATAATTAATATTTTGTGTCAAACATTGAAAAAGACATTGAGCTACAGAGTTAGCTTATAAATTGTATATAATAGTTGTTTTTTACTCCTGGTCAATAAAGTGCTCCAAAATGACATAATAGTCTTATTGCAAAGCACAACAGAAAAATATTTAACTAAGAAGTTTGTGCCCCCTTTTCTGGGTATATTTATGTATAATGATATATATCTGGATATATTTATGTATACGATATAAATATGGCCAGAGTAGGCATCAAACCTTGGACCTTCTTGGTTCTGAGGTCAGCACTTTAACCACTGTGTCATAGCTAATCAAAGTTAGCTTATGTTGTGCAAGCATTTGTAATTGTATTGATCTATTAATGCATTGACTTGTTAATGATTTTACAACAAATAGGATAACAAATAGGAGTATCAGTAAATATGTATATGCTAGTGTCAAATACTTTATTAGTTTTTTTATTAGAGATTTAGAGGATAATCCATCAATATTCAGGTTGAATGATGAGTTAAGTTTAAGCTAGTCAAAGCACACGTAGAATTATTGAATTTTGTACTGAATAACATACTGAATACTGAGTTAACTTTAATTTTCTATTTATGATTGTTATCTTTTATTTTAATTAATTAAAAATAAAAATGACAAACATTAATAAAATAAAAAGCATTTTAAAATTGCACTCTTTCATATCATGGTTTTTAATAACATAGTTGATCTGTTCAATAAGGATTTTTTTTTTTGTAGAAACATCTCAAAAAAGTGACAGAACAGTTTCCTGATGATGTTGAAGCGTGGATTGAGTTGGCTGGCATACTTGAACAAGCAGATGTGCAAGTAACAATTAATTTATTAAGTTTATTACAGTTCCAAGGAAAATTTTTCTTCCACATTTTAGATTTTCATAAAACTTAAGTTTGCCTGCATAAAGTAAATACTATTAAAATTTAGGTTCAAAACCATTTTGTTACTCATGAAAATGAAAAAATATCATGTTTTAAATTTCAGATTGTTTTCTTTAAACTCTGAATTTTTTTTTTTTTTCACTGAGCTCTGTGTTATTGCAATATTTTATACTTTTTGTTTACTTTTTTATATATATTATTTTGATTTAAAAGACTTAAAGTCTTTTTAATTTCTTTTTTATTTTTTTTTATCTGAGATTGGCAATAAACTAAAAAAACAGTTTGAAGCACTTATATTTTATCTACTTACAGCTTAAAAACATTAAAAATCAAATCCAAAGATCAAAATTGGTTTTACAACATATTTAACTTGCTTTCTTGTCGGTTTTTGGTGTCCGTGCAAAACAAACACGAGGTCAGCGGTAATAATAAAAGAAGTTGTTAAAAAAAGTAATTAAAACAAACAATTCAAAACAGACTTGAGTGTAAATAAAAAAAAATCCTTAAGAAAAGTAATTAAAACAAACAATAAACAACAAACTTTTAGTGTTCTAGTTTAGCGTAAATAAAAAGAATCGCTGTTAAAGAATAAAAAAATATATATAAATTTTTTTTTTAAAAGCAACATTTTAAAAATGGACTAAAATAGAAAAAATAAAAAATGTATATAAAAAACTTTTTCAAAACAACATTTAAAAATGGGCTATAAAGTAAAAAATAAACTATTGACCCAAGGACTTTAAGTCAATTACTGAAAATGTTGGGCACCTAATACAACTTGTTCCTATTGACGCCATTTTTACTTTTTTAAATTCATGTTGAATTACTAAGAGTATTAAAAAATCATCTAAAGTAAAACAACAATTCAACATAATATATAGTCTATTAATTTAGTCTATTTTTTAATTTTTAGTCCATTTTTAAAATGTTGCTTTTAAAAAGTTTTTTTTATATATTTTATATTAAGGATTTAATATACAAAATGATGTAACTATGTAGCTGTAGAAGTAACACATACTATACTATTAGTAAGTTGTTAGAGATGTAACATAATATCTCAAAGTAATCTCACTTATTTTTTTATTTATCTCTTTAAATATTTGTGAATGGTGAAAGTTGATATTTTTGTACATGCAGTTCACAATTAACCAGGTGAATGGTGAAATTCGATATCAAGTCTATTCTTGATCATTTTGCACAATCATTAAACTGAAGAATAACTATCAACATTTAACGATTTAACTAAGAATAACTATCAACATTTAAATGAAGAATAACCATCAACATATAACTTAATCATTGTAATTTTTGTTGTATTGTCTTTTAGTAACTAGAAAGTACTACATAAAAAGTTTATTAAGCATAATTTTAAATTACAACCGTAATTTCATTTTGTTTAAACCATGTCATTGTATTTGCAACAGGTAAATAACTTTACCTTGTTATCATTTGCATATTATTTGCAGTCATTAGTATAAATAATGAGTTGTTTATTTTTTTATAATACTTTCTTAATAAAAAGTTTGCTTAAGTCCAAAAGTAGGAGAATTGATGATTATATACTTATGCCAAATAAGCTATTAATGGAGTTATTTAATTAATACATTTCATCAACCATCAATACAAAGATTCAGATGAGACAGCCAAGTTTTAGTAATATTGATATTAGTAATATAAAGAGTTATTTAAAATATTAATTTTAATAAAAAAGTTTGCCTAAAAAAGCCTAAAAAATTGCCTAAAAAATTGGCTATGAAAAAGCCTTAAAAATTAATCCACTTTCTGTTTTTGACAACTCGGATAAATAAAAGGTTTTATTAAAAAAATTAAAATAAGTAGGTTAATTAGTATGCTGCACTTTAGTACTTAAACATAAGTTTCAAATATAAAGCTTTATTTTTTCAGATCTGAGACATGAAAATTTATTAACTGCGTTTTACTATAATTTATAAAACGTTTTTTTACTGTTTACATTCTAACTGAAAATGTTAGATATTATCTATTTTATTTTTATCTTTCAGGCTGCTTTATCAGCATACGGTGCAGCATCAAGAATTCTCAAAGAAAAAGTTGAAGCTGATGTACCCCCTGAAATTTTAAATAATGTTGGTGCGTTACATTTTAGATTAGGGAACCTGAATGAAGCAAAAGTAAGAATTCTTTCAACAACAATAATTTTAGTTAATTTTAAATTATTTAAATTAAGTTTTTTAAAAGAACCGCATCCTGCTTATGGAGCATATGAAATTTTTTAAAGAATCTTTTTGTAAATATTATATAAAAACAAATTTATCAACATTGTATATGGGACACAACAATCAGTTCTTACTATAAGAAATTAAACATCTTAAATACTAAACTTACTTCAGGGGCATATAAATAATAAAGGACATAAAAGTTAATACACATAAGTTTGTTACATGAAACCTATTGAATAAAAATTATATATTGATTTATTACTACAATAATATATGGTATGATAATATATGAAATGAGTTTTTATTACAACTAAAAGTCCATATAAACTATACTATATGATACAAATCTGTTATGAGGTCACTTAAATATTTGTTAAATATTATTAGTATACATATGTTGAAATATTTACATAAAATAATTTTTTTTTTATTGTTAGAAATTTTATGAAGTTGCAATGGAACATTGCAAAGAAGAAAGCATGCAAGGTGAAACATATTACCGTGCAATTTCCGTGTCCATGCAGTATAACATGGCCAGATTAATGGAAGCCCAGTTTGAATTTGATAAAGCTGAAAAAGTTTATAAAGATATACTAAGGGAACATCCAAGTTATGTAGATTGTAAGATAATTGACTTATATTTTTAAAAATAATTGTTTTGAATTCATAAATTTTACAATGTAAACAGCTTGTATTGGCAAAGATAAAAGTGGTTTATCAGGGCTTTTGATTGGTTAGATATTGACTATGTCATTATGAGATAAAGCACGGATTCGGAACTAGGTTGGCTCGTTTTTCTTGTGGGTTGTATACCAAATAAGAAAAATTAAAAAAAAAAAGATTTTTTAAGTATGTTTCTTAGCAAATTTAGACTGGCTTAATGTGAATATTGTTACATTTTTATTAAATAGAACTTAATATATAGTATTGATTTTTACTTAAGGTTATCTTCGATTGGGATGTATGGCCAGAGATAAAGGACAAATTTATGAAGCTTCAGATTGGTTTAAAATGGCACTTCAAATTGACCAGGTAATTGGTTTAATTTTTACTAATAATCAAACCAAAATAAGATTTTGATTGGATTGGAATAACATTAGATTGGAATAACAAGTTTTTTTTTTTTTTTTTTACATCATAACGATTAACTTATGTCGCGTTTTTTTTTTTTTTTACATCATAAAAATTAATGTAGTTTCATGTTTTAATTGGCAATGGTTATAGTTTCATGTGTGCTTGGAACGCATCATCATGTGTTTCAATGATCAGAATCATGTTTCAATAGATCAGAAGTATATTTATTGTCATATATTTATTGTAATATATTTCAATACTTTTGAAACAACTTGTAGCATCATGTATTGGAACAGTTTTTTAAAAGTTAACATTTCATCAACTAAGAAAAAAAAAAATCATGTTTTAACAACATCATGCCATAGTCATATATATATTTTTTTTAATTAAAATTTTTTTATTATTATTATTTATTTTACTATAAAATAATTAAGGATCATCCAGATGCTTGGACTCTAATTGGTAATCTTCATCTAGCAAAGCAAGAATGGGGACCTGGTCAAAAAAAGTTTGAACGTATATTAAAACAACCTGCTACTTCAAGTGACACATATGCACTTGTAGCTCTTGGAAATGTTTGGCTTCAAACTTTACATACACCATTGCGCGACAAATCAAAAGAAAAAAGACATCAAGAAAGAGCTATAGCTATGTTTAAGCAAGTGCTTCGTATCGACCAGCGAAACATATATGCTGCAAATGGCATAGGTTGGGTTTCACTGTATTTTTAATATGAATTTTTATATGTTTTCAAACTTATTGTTATTTAACCTGGATTTAACCAATTTCTTTTATTTAATTTTGCTTAAATTGATTAAGTTTTAAAATCTTTATATCCAGAATTTAGGTTTCGGATGATTTAAGGCTTTATGTACATTTAATGTTAACATGCAACTTTAAGCTTTAGGTTTTCAATAATTTGCCAGTTTTATATATTTTCATCTTATCTTTACTTTTAGGATGCGTGCTGGCACATAAAGGTTACTTCAGAGAAGCTCGTGATGTTTTCTCGCAGGTTCAATATTTAGTTTAAAATACTTTTTCTTCTTTTTATTTAAACGAGTTTACTTCATCAAGCCTGCATGAAACCATTACTTAAGTTAAAGGTTCCTAGAACATAAGGAAGATAGCTAAAGAGCAACAAAATGATTGACAGAAGACTTCTCAAGCACTGATGTCTGTGAATAAAATCTAGATAAATTATAGTTTTTTGAGCGTGATGGAACAGTTAGTAGAAAGCTTTGTGTGATGATGAATCACACATGGTAGAACATAAGGCAGTAGCTTACTTGAGCAGGGATACAACTTTAAAACAATGTACCAGAAGCTCAAGTCTATATTCTTGACCAGGGCTAGCTATATTTATAATGCATTTTTGCACCCATTCTTAGTGAGAAAGGGGATGATTAGAAGACTCAGTCTAAATATAGCAACAGTATTCTATACAAAGATAGATTTATAGAGGTAAAGAATGGAATCAGTTAAAAAAAAAACAATGAACAAAATAAATAAAGGAAAGCTGGAATCTAAAGAACAAAGAACAATTTTCAAGGACATTCTTGAAAAAAAAAATTCTTAGATGATCATGTTTGAAAGTAAATCTTGAAAAAAAACAAAAAACCTAAAGATTTTTTGTTTATTCTGAACAAAACTTTAATTTACCTTACTTGTTTTGTGGGTGATTAACAAATATATAAATAAAAATAAAAATATATTTTAATATAGAAATATATTTTTTAAATAAACTCCCAAACTAAGTTATTATAATGCATTAGTATGTTTTTGCAAACGTTTATGCTTAGCCATTTTTGAGGGTATGTGAAAGTCAATGCTGTCTTCACTTAAATATTTACGGTCATATTCGTTATTATGATCATCATTGTGATCATCATGATCATGATCATGATCATGATCATCATTGAGTAATAAGGAGCTGTGTTTTTTTTGACTTTCATAAATTTATTTTTTTAAACAATGTAATACAAGCTTTGATGCTCTTGTATCAGTGAGGCAGTTTCTTACTTTAGATTTTTGCAATGAAAATTTTTTATTTGCACGCTTAACAGTTGCAACGCTGCAGTTACAAGACAATAATATTAAAGCAATTTTATTCAATAATGTTTTTGGTGTATATGCTTTCCGACATACAACTTGATTACAATCCACATTAAGCTTCCAAATATAGCTGCGATTATCCTGCTATTACGCTGCAGTTACAAGACAATAAAATTAAAGCAATTTTATTCAATAATGTTTTTGGTGTATATGCTTTCCACCATACAACTTGATTACAATCCACATTAAGCTTCCAAATATAGCTGCGATTATCCTGGCTAAATATTCCACTACGAGCTTTTAAACTCATTAATTTATCCAATATTATGTCAACATCTAGTGTTTCATTTTTAGCTCTTCTGAATACATGCTACTCAGCTAAAAGCATTTCTGAATGATTTAACTTTTGAACAACAAATCTTGGATCAAGTAAGTTTGCTTCAAAGTGTATTGGTCTTATAACAAAGTCTTCATGCTTTTTATCATAAGTAATAAAACAAGGTATATACCTATTGATTACCTAGGTATATACCTAGTGAATACCAAGGTATATACCTAGTGAATACCAAGGTATATACCTAGTGAATACCAAGGTATATACCTAGTGAATACCTAGTAAATACCTAGGTATATACCTAGTGAATACCGAGGTATATACCTATTGAATACCTAGTAAATACCTAGGTATATACCTAGTGAATACCTAGGTATATACTTACTGAATACCTAGGTATTTATTTTTTTAATTTATTGATTGATTTATATAAACCTTTATTAAAACAGTAAAATTATGGTAAACAATTAAATAGAATCAGAAAAGCTGTGAAATTTTTTTTTAACAAATATTTTAAAATTCCCAGGAAAAAAAAGAATAGCATTAATGTTACCAATCATAATAGAATATTCATCTGTTGGGGCTTAAGTACATATGTACAATAAGAGTTAGTGTTTGAACAGGAAATATGTTACGAGTAGGTTTATAGTATATAATAGCTAAAAAAAGGTTGTATATTTACACAAAAATTATTAATATGCAATATAAATACAACATGCAATATAAATTTAAGTTGTTTATAAAAAATTGTTCAGGTTCGAGAAGCAACAGCTGAAGTACCTGACATATGGTTAAATTTAGCACATGTATATGTTGAGCAAAAGCAGTTTGTTAGTGCGATACAAATGGTAGTGTTTTTATTCTTTTTTTTTTTTAAATTAATTATAGTTTTTTAAATTTTCTAACTTTCAAAATTAGTTTTTGTGTGTGTGTGTGTGTGTTTGTAAATGTCGTATATTTATTTAAGTATGAAAACTGTTTGAAGAAGTTCTTTAAGTCATACAGTGTTGAAGTAATGTTTTATCTTGCTCGTGCATATTATAAAGCTGGAAGGTTAGAAGATTGTAAAGAGCTTTTGCTAAAGGTTTGCTTAGCTACTTTCGTTCAAAAATAAAATATCTAACAAAAACATATGCTTATCTTTTACAACTGTGTTTTAGACGCGTCATGTTGCTCCTCACGATACATTGTTGATGTTTAATTTATCGCTTGTTCAGCAGCGATTAGCTACAAGTGTTTTGCGTAATGAAAAAAGCAATTTAAAAACAGTACTTTCAGCTGTTGCTGACCTAGAACTTGCACAAAGGTATTCAGATTTTGTAGCAATATAATTTTTTGTCGTTGCTGATTTAGCCTAATAAAATAATTTTTTATCTTAGAAATTTTGACTACCTTTCAAGGCATGGTGACAGAATGAAATTTGATTTAGCTCAAGCTCGTCAAGAAGCTGGGTATGACTATTTTAATTCATTTTTAAAGTGTTGCTGTAGTTATTTTTTGAAAAAATTGTATGTAGTTTTTTATTTAATGCAAAAATTTTGTTTTGTAATTCATTTACACACACGCACACACACACACGCACACACATACACACACACACACACACACACACACACACACACACATGCACATGCACATATACACACATCTATATATAAATTAGTAATAAAACTTATCTAATTTTCTTCGACAGTATGTTTCTTCCTCTGTAGGTTCATCAAAAAAGCTTCCTGATGAACCTACAGAAGCAGAAACAGACTGTTAAAGAAACTAGATAAGTATTTTTACTAATTTATTATTGCTCTGTTCTTTAAGAACATCGAGCTATTGACAGTTAGAAATCAATTACTTTAACTGGTAAGATGTTCCATGCATTGGCAATGGGGTCATTAAAAAAGTTAAAACAAGTAAATTGTTGCTATATTTTTTATGATGAAGTCTCTTCTTTGATTTGTATTTGGTGGAATTGTGATTAGAGGAAAGTGTCAGTTGACTATGTTAATGTTATTATTAATCTTATATTTTTGAGTGAGGTCACCTCATTCACAAGGGTTGACTAGTTAGGCAAGTTGTAAATATCTGCATTTGTAGTCTAACATTTTCAGTTTGTCTAGTATCTTTGTGGCTCTGCACTGTATTAGCTCAATAATTTGTTCATCCTTCACCAGATGAGGGTTCCAAGCTGGAACTGCAAACTCAAGAAAAGGACAAACAAATGTGGTGTTGTTTCCATAAGGAAGCATTATGAGATTGGAAAGTGTGTTTTAGAGTGCGTAGTATTTGATTTGCTTTATATGAGGTAATGATGGATTGGGTTTCTACTTTTAGATAATTGGTAATTTGTATTTCCAAGTCAAGTTCAGAAGTTATTGCATCCAATCTAGTTTGAGTTGTCATTGAACAAGGTCCTCCATTGAGTGCTCAAAGTAATATAAATTTTGTCGGCCAAAGTGCATGACCTTACATTTCTTTGCATATCGCTCCATGAGCAAAGACTTGGTTCAATAAACAATTTAGTCAATATTTGATTGGAGTTGTAATTGAGCAGCAAGTGAGTTGACAATGCTCAGAATTTTAGTGTCATCTGCATAAATCTTACAACTGTTCTTTGCTTATTACATCTGGCAGATTGTTTTTCAATCGGATGCCAACAAGGATGATATCCGATTGAAAAATGATCAAAACAAAACAATTTAATTAGATGTCACCAAGGATGACTCATTGAGACCTGTTGAGTAAAAAAGCTTTTATCCAATCGAGAAGATTCCCTTTAATTCAATACATTTTTAGTTTATAAAATATTTGCTGATGTGGTACTTTGTCAAATGCTTTGGCTAAATCCAGGAATATGACATCAACTGGTAGTTTTCTGACCATATTTCCAGTAATATTTCAATTTCATTGTTTCAAAGAGATTTGTAATGCATGGTTTTTTCTCTAAGATTACTATTTAATAGAAGATTGTTTGATTTTAGATGCTGCATGACTGCTTTCTTAACTAGTTTATATATATATATATATATATATATATATATATATATATATATATATATATATATATATATATATATATATATATATATATATATATATATATATATATATATATATATATATATATGGTCAAATTTTATTATTTTTTTCGTCAACTTTTAGGAAATGAATAGTGATGTAGACACAAAAGTTTATTTAAAATGTATCTTTAGTACTAAAATTAATTTATTAAGTCATTCTTATGCTTCTAAAAGTTACGGTTTTTCTTATTGTTGCATGATAAAAAAAAGTAACATTGTAAAATGTTATTTTAACCATAAATTTACTTGCATTATCAAAATTAATTTGGCATGAAAATGGAGCTAACATGCTAAATATTTTTTGGTCAGATTTTATACTTTATAAAATATATATATATATTTCAGGAAAGTAACAAAAGAATTTTCATGCAATGCAATTTTTTTGCAATGTAATGTAACAAAAACATGATGAAGTTTTGTTTTTTCTAAAATTTAATTAAAAGTTTTTTAACAATATATGCAAAAGATTATTAAATTACATTTTACGTTTTTTACATTTTAAGATTTAATAATGATGCTTGGTTGAAGCACATTTTTATTTTCAATTTAAAACTAATAAGTTAAAACTACATGCATTTACTAAAGTTCTGGCTCAATTTCTTATTTCGTCAGTTGCTCAATTTCAATTTCTCAATTTCTTATTTGGGTTGATAAAATTCTAACTGAAACTTTTTATATTAGGAGAATTTAGAAAAAAAATCTTTTTTTTAATGTTAAATTAAAGTTATTTATATTGTTTTTTTATTTGTTTATGTATTCTTATTTTGGTTGACATATAATTATACATAAATAAAAATTAGAATTATGTAAATATTTTTATTTAAACATTAAAAAAAAAAGATTTATTTGCAATTCTCCAAATATAAAAAAAAATCAGTTTAAACCTTATTTTTGTTTGAGTAAAACAAACCATTTGTAAATGCAATTAATTGGGGTCATCCATAAAACACGTCACCCTATATTTGTCAATTCTTAACCCCTTCCCTCAAGTCACAAACAATCACATACATGTATACCTTAACACCCTCTCCCTCCTAAACTGTGATAGCAGTTTTTATGTTAAAAGTATTTTAAAAGATTTAAATGTAAATACTTTGCAGCGTTTTAAAAATTCAACCTAATGAAAATAAGGCAATACGCACAAATGTAAGTAAAAACCTCTACGAACCAAAAATTTATTTATTTAAATGACTCAAATTAGTATTAATAAAGTTGTAATACTAAAATAATTTTTTAAAGTTGCTCTTCGTCTTACTGAAAAACTGTTTTTGATTTGATAACTTTCATAAATGTTATGAAAAATCACTCAGAAAGAGTGCCACCAGTTTTTTAAAATTTCCTTTGTTAATTATTTTTAATGAATGAGTTCAAAACTTTTGCAATTCTTTTGTTATGCAACTCTAAAAAATCTATAATAATAGAACTCTATAATTATAGATATAAAAAATCCACAACAATAATTGCTCGGTAATGTAAGTGATGTAACACAATTTAAATATATATTATCAAAAAAATTAGTTTATTTTTCTTAGCTGGTAATCTCTGATAAATATATATATATTTTTAAAATCGCTAAAGAATTCTCAACATCTTGTGAAAGTTTCTAGTACAAACCGCTTTACTGATTCGCAGAAATCTGACCTAATTGTTGAAGCAATTTTTTTACCTTGTTTTCTGTGTAGCCTAAGTTAAGTGTCATTTTCAGTAATAAGTTCGCCCTCTTTTGGCCAGACTCAAAACTTTTTAGCTTATTTTATTCTTTAGACTAACAGCTTTCATAAAAATATATAAGTTTAAATAACCAAATTTTTAAATAAAGTTGTTGTGTGGGTAATGTAATTTAAAAATGGTATTGTTTATATACATATATATATATATATATATATATATATATATATATATATATATATATATATATATATATATATATATATATATATATATATATATATATATATATATATATATATGTATATATGTATATATGTATATATATATATATATATATATATATATATATATACATATATATATATATATATATATATATATATATATATATATATATATATATATATATATATATATATATATATATATATATATATATTCCTGCTGATATAGGTCTGCACTTAATATGTTTTGCACATTTTAACTTTTAAAATGCTGGCTTCCAGGCATTCTTTTAGAGAAAGAAAAATAAGAAAATTTAAAAAAACAATTTTTTTTTTGCCTAATTAAATGTCCTTCATATGTATTTGTACCTGTCTAAATGCAAATCTGATGACTATTTTAGCATGCTATCATTTGTGATTTTTCATGCACAGCATAATTGGCATATAGAAATAGATAATTTTTATATAAAAATAAAATTCTCAGAGTTTTGTAGTTAAGTAATCTTTTAACTTTTTTATCTTTAAAATTATCTTTTTAGTCGATGTTCTGATTTGTTAAATTTTTTGTTTGTCGATATCATTCAAAATTATCTTTTTAGTCGATGTTCTGATTTGTTAACTTTTTTGTTTGTCGATATCATTCAAAATTATCTTTTTAGTCGATGTTCTGATTTGTTAACTTTTTTGTTTGTCGATATCATTCAAAATTATTTTTTTAGTCGATGTTCTGATTTGTTAAATTTTTTGTTTGTCGATATCATTCAAAATTATCTTTTTAGTCGATGTTCTGATTTGTTAAATTTTTTGTTTGTCGATATCATTCAAAATTATCTTTTTAGTCGATGTTCTGATTTGTTAACTTTTTTGTTTGTCGATATCAATCAAAATTATCTTTTTAGTCGATGTTCTGATTTGTTAAATTTTTTGTTTGTCGATATCATTCAAAATTATCTTTTTAGTCGATGTTCTGATTTGTTAACTTTTTTGTTTGTCGATATCATTTAAAATTATCTTTTTAGTCGATGTTCTGATTTGTTAACTTTTTTGTTTGTCGATATCATTCAAAATTATCTTTTTAGTCGATGTTCTGATTTGTTAAGTCAAGCTCAATATCATGTACAGCGTGCAAGGAGAATAGATGAAGAAGCTCAAGAACAGCGTAAAAAACAAGATGAAGAAAGAGAGTTGTTACGGCAACAACAATTAGAAGCTGAGGTTTTGTTTTTAATTTTTTGTTACATTGTTAAATTTTTGTTAGATTTTTAAATTTTAAGGACAGGCATCGATTAGAAATGGAAACTGTTAAGCCAATTTTTTCTAAAAAAAGTATGAAAAAAAATAATAAACGCTAGTGCACATTAGGGTGTCATGCTGTTGATAAATTTGAAATTAAAAAGTTTCACTGCAGGTTGCATATAATTATTTCATAACCTTAAGTAAATAATTAAAAAATGATAATCTCAAAACCTAATATCTCTTATCCTAAAAGAAACTAATAATAGAATGGAGACTAATTGTAGGATAGTTTTAGAGTGTGCTTTCTAGAGTTTTTAAAAGTCGGAACTACTTATATAGCTGACTACTAATTAATAGCTAACAGATTTGAAAACTATGATAGAAATCTTCTCTAAACCACAAGCTGTAGAAGAGGTTAATTTAAAATTAGCCTGAGTGATTTGGGTGTTTAACATTGGGTTAATCTGTTTAACTGGAAGGGCAGGAGGAGTATGGCCATTAGATTTGAGAGTTGTATTAGAGGAAAAGTTCTTTGCAAATAACCCCGAGGAAAAATTTTTTGCAAATATTCTAGAGAGAAGTAATAAGATCAGACCCTTGAATTACAGATAAAATGTTAGACTGATACTGTTGAAGATTTTCCAAAAGTCTTAGAACCTAACATCTGACATAAAATACAAACTTTAGTTAACTGAGAGAAACATAGCTTAACATCAGACAAGACCTTTTTATATTGACATCTTGCAATAATAAAAAGATATTTGTTCTTAAGAGGGATCTTTTGTAAAAAAGATGGAAAAATGATTACGGTTTAGTTTAACCTTTAATAAACCAAGTCCAAAACCAACTTGGTAATCTATGATTCATAGATCAAGTTTAATAGTTCGATAGGCCTAATTGTTTATAGTGGAGTTACTTGAAAGTAAAATAAAAGTTAGATAGTTAAAAATGTGGAGTAGAACTAAAACTTAAGAGAAGAAATAAAAGCTTCCAAACCTGCTTAGATCCAGGAGTTGAGATCAAGGAGGTTAGATGCGTGTTTATGCATACATAATATAAATATATATGAATATAAACATAAATATTTTTATCCGTATTTATTTAGATGCTGGCATACAATATCTTTACATGTTTTTATGAACTTTAGTTTTTATTTAGTGTAGTGTTTGCTAAAAAAGAATATGATCAGATATATGTGTGGTATGACTCTAACAAGTCAAGAAAACGTGTTACATATTGTATGAATTTTAGTTAAGGAAAGAAGATGCTCGAGATGTTTATATTAGAGAAACAGCATAAAAGGGGAAGGCTAAAGCTTGATGATTATGATAATGATGACGATATTTGTGATCATGTTGATCATGATAATGTTTATATATAAGTATACATGCATATATATATATATATATATATATAATATATATATAAAATATAACATGAGTTTTGAATAAAAAATATGCTTTAGAATGTATCAATATTAATGCAGCCCTGGTAACAGGCCCTTGTTCTGGCTATTTTTTAACAAATCCACCCCCCGTTCCAGTTGAATTTCAACCCCAATCTCTTACTAGTACAGAGTAAAATGTTGCTCTTATATCTTATATGTTGTTATTATATCCAAAAACTTATCCTCATTTACCCTTCCTTCAGAAAGATCATCAGAAAGAACCTTAAAGAAAATAGACTTTTTATCAGTAAATCTCTTGCTTTACTTAAGAGCTATATTTTCAAACTAATCTTTTCTTTTGCCAAGCTTATTAGAAAAATAGAAGTAGTTTATAGATTAATTAGTTACAGAGGTATTTTCAGTTTTAGTTTTAACATCAATCTTTTCATAAAAAGTGTTGTGTTTTGTTAATTTTATTTACAGTAACAGTTATAATATAAAATCTAAAGGAAAAGTAGACAAAACTTTTATTGTACTTTCAAGTTACTCCACTATAAACAATTAGGCCTATCGAACTATTAAACTTGATCTATGAATCATAGATTACCAAGTTGGTTTTGGACTTGGTTTATTAAAGGTTAAATAGACATGATTTAAAAATCTAATTTTATTTGTTTTTTTGTTTACATATTTCAAGTTGGTCTTAACACAAGATTTGTTTTTGATTTTTTTTTTTTGCTTGAATATTGCTTAGCATAAACCATACCATAATAAAATCACTAAAAAAATTCATTAAAATTATTTTCTAAATTTTTTTTGGTATGATGTTTCGTAATTCACTCTCATAGAAAAAGAAGACAATTCTGCACATTCACAAAAAAAAAAAAGAAAATTTTGTGTACATTGGATAAAAGGGACATTTATGCATAGTTATAGAAATCATGTGCTTTAAATTGAAAAAATAAATTTTAACATTAAAACTACCAGTTTGAAAGCATGTTGATAAAGTTGAACTGATGCATTTGACTTGTTTGGAGTCAAAAAAAGGTCACTTCAAGTTTAATAAAGTTTCATTTTTTGTTGTTACAGTACCAAATTTAGAAAAAAGCTAGAAATATGTTGAAGAAAAAATTCTAAAGGTGCACATTATCATATTGAGTGTCAGAAATGTTTTTGTATTTTCTAAGGAGAAGAATATTGGAGAGAATTGTTTATTTTTTTATTGAAATAAAGTAAGTTTGCATTTTTGAATGAAACATTTTTTATTTTCTGATTGTTTTGTCACAGAGTAAACTCAATCAGCAAAAAGAAGCAGAGAAGCAGCAACTACTTGAAAAAAGAGCTCAATACAAGGAAGCAACGAAGAGTTTGTTAAAGTTTTCAGCTGCAGAAATGGCTGCTAAAGAAAAGGCTGCAAATAAAAGTAAAAAGGTAAAAAAAATTATGTTTTTCAGTTAAATATTTGGTTATATGTTTAATTCCACTATGGATTTAATGACACAAGTGAAACAGAGATAAAGGTAAATGCATTTTTTGCTAGCTCTGTGCCAAAACTGGAAACTGAAGTAAATTATTAATGTTATTATTCTATATTTATTACTGTTGTAATTATTCTATATTTATTACTGTTTGTAATACTTTTTTATTAATATGGGTTTTTAAAAACAGAAAGCTGATCTAGAAGGATTAATCGCAACAAGCAGCAGCGACGAAGAATCTACAGTTAAAAAGAAGGAAAGGTTGGTTAAGTTTTTTTTACTTTTTTACTATATATATTTTATAAATATTTACTAAAAAGTTTTTTTGTTGGGTATAATACTAATATATTTTGCACGATTTAATTTTTGAAATGTATGTACTGAACATTTAGTAACTATTTACTAATGTAAAAGATTAATATGGCAAAAAAAAAAAGCAGCTGTTAGAGATTTATAAAGATAAAGAAAAGAATCCGGAGTAAGAAAGTGGCAAGCACGATAAAAAGATCCAACCTTACCAGATGCTGATTTTGTTTTGGATTTGATATATGGCTTCAAAGAAAGATCAAAAATATGAGTTAATCCTAAAGTTTGAAGGGTAGATGACAAAGTACATTACCATTCATAAATATAGAAAGATCTAGATTGTTGTGATAACAATTACTGAAAAAAAATGAGTTTTATCTGAGTTAAAGTTCACTAGCTACTGGGAGCACCATGCTGTAGCAGAAGTGAGATCCTTTTTAAGCTCAAATACCACCTATAAACAGTCAGAGTGTGTTAGCTCCTTATCAAGACAATAATAACTGGTAGTATCATCTGCAAACGATGCCACCTTAAATGTGAGAGTTTCTGGGAGATTGTAAATGTAAATTAAATAAAGTATGGGGCCAAGGATAGAAGTAGATTGAAAGCCATATTAATGACCAGAAAGTTATAAAATTCAAGATAATAGGTTAAGTGTTTGTTAATGTAAGACTCAAAAATCTTACTTACGATAGGAAGAAGACTAATGGGGCGGTAGTTAAATGAGTCAGATTGCTATTCAAAATTTTTGTATATAGGGATAACAGATGCCGTTTTCCAGCAGGCTGGAAAACAAGACTCTGATAAGCACTTGTTAAATGGTTTTGAAAGTATAGATGACAACTTCCGAGAACACTTCTGCAAGACTACAACAGGTATGTTGTCCAGAGCACAAGCTGTAGGGTTAAAGCAGGAAATTACTTTAGATACAGAAGCTGGAGTGATTTGAATGTCAAGCAATTGATCAACCTGTTTTGTAGACTATATCAGGTAGAATGTGATTAATGAAATCAATAGATGAGATTGATGAAAAGTTTTTAGCAAACAGTTTACCTCTGTCTTTAGGTGAGGTAACAAAATCTAAGCCATGCAATAGAAGAGGAATAACAGATCTCCCCCTATTATTGACACTGTTAACGGTTCTTTAGAAGTCTCTGGAGCCTAATTTTTGAGATAAAATAGGAGACTTTGTGATCTTCCCACATGGTCTTCTTAAAAAAGAATTTTTTTTATTATTAAAAACATCAATATTTTTTATGCAATAAATTTGCACCACTTAAGAAATTTATATGTGGATCAAACTCATGCCTTTATGCAATAATCAAGTCTCATGTTGAAGTTCATTAATCAAGTCTCATGTTGAAGTTCATTAATCAAGTCTCATGTTGAAGTTCATTAATCAAGTCTCATGTTGAAGTTCATTAATCAAGTCTCATGTTGAAGTTCATTATCTAATCCTTAAAAGTTTTGTAAATTTAATTAAATAATTTTCAATAATTTTTTATTGTCAATTTTACTGCAGGTTGTGTATAATAATTTCACAACCTTAAATAAATAATTAAAAAATAATCTCAAATAATTAAAAAGTCAATAAATTTTGTTTACTTTTATTTTAATTTTAATTTTTTAATTTTAGTTTATCGTAAACTTTAAATTTTCTAGAAAAAAGAAAAAGGTTGAATACAATGAAAATGGTGAACCAATAACAAAAAAGAAAAGGTATTTTTAGTTTTTTAAATGTTTTAAGTTTCAATGGTAATAAGTGTACTATAATGATGTTATAAAATGAATCTTTATTTTAAATGCTAACATGAATCTTTAAAATAGACAACCTAAAGAACCAAAACCAAAAAAACAAAAGGAACCAAAACTGTCAGCAAAACAGCAAACAAGGGTTAAATCAAAAGCAACAGTTTCATCTTCTGACTCAAGCTCTGATGAGGAAGCACCCAGCAATAGTCAAAGTGAAGTGCCAAGGTAAGCAATAAAACTTAATCACTATTAGAAGAATATTTTTTTTTTTTTTAATTTAGTAAAGATTTTTGAAATTTGAAAAAAAAATTAAAATTAAAAGATTATTAACTATAAGTTTTTATTAAAAAATAATATTTTAAGAAAAAAAACTGCAGTTATGTCTCCAGAATCTGATGGTGGTGAAGATGGTGAAAATGATGATGAAATAAAAATTGACCTTTACAGCCCACATGAATCCGATGATAGTAATCATGAAAACGAACCACAAACAACAAAAAGAAAAACGAGGATCATTAGTTCGTGAGTCATCTATTAATAAAGTTTCTTACTTAAAGTTTTTAGTTTTTATTTCTTTATTTTTTTTATAATTATTTTTTATTTCTTTTTATTTTATTATTTTTTATTTCTTTATTATTTTTTTAATTTTTATTTTTTCGTAACAATTTTGAGAATGTTTTAAATTTTAGATCGGAATCAGAATCGTGATCGAAATGATTTTAACAAAAGATTTATTTTTATTAACCTGTATGTATTTATGAAAAATTTTAAATATTCAGAACATTTTTATAAATGTTAAACTATTGTTTATTAATTTATATTTGACCAAGATAAGATTATGTAAGTCAGTGAGATTACATGAACTATACAAAAGTGAAAGATTAGATTATATAAGTAAGCGAGATTATGAGTTATGCAAAATGAAAAACTAATAAGTAAGTGAGGTCATATGAGACATACAAAAAAGAAAGATAATGAGACATACAAAAGGAAAATGACTTTGTATGTCTATTGTAATAATACCAAATCTCGAATGTAATGACCTCTAACCATAGTAAATAAGTTATTTTTCAGTTGTTTCAGTTCTCCAATATTTGTAAATAAGTTATTTATTATTTAAAATTTGCTGAGCTCTAATTTTATTATTACCTCTAAACTTAGTAACCATAGTAACCATAGTAAATAACTATAATATTTATAGTATAAAAATAAGAATTTTAAACAAACACAGATAAAATGTATTAAAATGTAATAGAAATTACTAAAAAGTTGAAATGGTTGATTAGAATTGCTTAATAACATTAAAAGAAACTTTTTCAAAAGTTGGTTGTAAGAAAATGGCAGCATTTTTGCAGCAGTCTTCCGCAATGTTGGGTAATCTCAAAAAAGCTTTGCTTGGAAATCCGGTTACAAGAGATTTTAATGTTGGTGATCAAGTTGCAAGTTTTGGACCTAGTCTTCTTTGGAAAGTATTTGATGGCAAAAAGAAATCAACAGGACAGGTCTGTTTTATCTGTACTGATAAAAAATCTTATATATTTTTATAAATACTGAAAAAAAAATCTTATATATATAACATCAACCTGAATTTTTAATACTATTAGTTTGAATGAAAAATTTGTTTTCCTAATTTTTGAATTAAAATTTTGTGTCATTGCTCCTTTTTTTGGTTTTAGGAAGTTTCTATATTTATTTTTGAAAAAAGCTTACTTGATAAATATGAAAAGAGTGAGCGTGACAATATTATTGAAAAAATGAAGCATGGACCACAGCAACTTACAAAGCTGCGCCATCCTCGCATTCTCACTATTCAGCATCCACTTGAAGACTCAAGGTATATTTTAAGTTTCTCTCTATAATAATTACACTGTATAACAAATATTATTTTTTGTTTTGTACTTGGGTTATATGTGTGAACCTAGCTGGTTTTGCTAAAAACAATTAGGAAATATTTGTTGTTCCACAAAAGCTTTGCTTCTGTGATCATATTCTGATAACTTATGTTTTTTTGAAAAAGTTTTTGTTTACTATTGAATACTGAGCATTCTTTTAAAATAATTCTGAGCTACTAGAATTGTCTAGAAAGCACAGCTCTCAACTACCTGTTTCTCCTTTCCCTAAGAGGATCAGCCATCTTCAGGAGAAAGCAGCAAGTCTGACAGCAAGGATTATATTTGAGATGCAACTGATCGTCTATTCTGATTCTTTTTGCATCTCAAAAAGGACCAGTGTTAAGATATTGCTGAATGCCTTAAACTATGACAACTATAGATGGTAGGTCATTGGAGACTTCAAAATGGTATCATTTCTCATGGGCCTTTAAGGCAGTTTGACAAAATTTCCTTGTTTCATTTGCCTCTGGGACGCAATGCATCAAGTTTTCTGTGGACAAGAAAAGTATGAGGTGTGAGCCGCTGATAGAATCCAGAAACTGCTGATGCCAAATACTGTTTGTTATTGATGTGCATAGCAATGCTTATTATGATATGCATAGCAGGGCTTATGATGTACATAGCAGGGCTTATGATGATGTGCATAGCAGGGTTTATGATAAAGAAATTTGCCTAGCATTGTTTTTTGTGCTTGTAAAATCTAAATGCAATGTTGATGAATGTGATTATGAATGATTGGCATAATGTACTTGAGAGTAATTTCTTGACACATGTCTTAAATAGATATATTTAATAAATATTGATTAAAATAATAATGATGTGACTTTTTAAATTATAAATTTAGTGAATTTGAAGCAATTGTTAATGTAAATTTGCCTGATATATCTATTACTCAAACATGGTTTAACAACCTTTTTTTTATTGGGTATACTTTTAAAACCGATTGCAAGGACAACAGGGAGTAGAAGTTGTTTTGAATCAATTATTATATTTACAGATTGATATCCTACATGATATCAATCATATTCTGAACACTCCAACCTGACTTACTAAGAGTTTGTTTTGTTACTTTCAAAAACAATGACTTAGTGTTCAAAAAATTTGGCAACTGGCAAGTTTTTTATATATTTGTTTATTATACTTGGAGATGATCTTAAATTGAGTGAAAATAAGCATATTTTATTGTTTTAAAAATCATCCAATTTTGATACAAGTAATTATTTTTCAGAAAAAAATTTAAAATGTTGTAGCTTTTTGGTTAGTGTTGAGGCTAGTGATTGAAGGTGGATACTAGTGGTTGAAGATGGATACCTGTGGTTAAAGATGGACACTAGTGGTTGAAGATAGACACTAGTGGTTGAAGATGGACATTGGAGGTCAAAGATGGGTACTAGTGGTTGAAGATGGACATAGGAGGTCAAAGATGGGTACTAGTGGTTGAAGATGGACATAGGATGTCAAAGATGGGTACTAGTGGTTAATTTTTAAGAACCATTGAACTAGTATATTTTTTTGTTATAAATTTCATAATTTTTTTAGAGATTCAATTGCTTTTGCTACTGAACCAGTCTTTTGTTGTTTATCAAATGTTCTAGGAAAGTATGATAACCTTTCCAGCCCTTTACCAAAAGGTCTTAAAGTAAGATCAAGTTTTTTTATAATATTAATGGAAATAAAAATTATAAAATCTTTAATTATGATAATTTGTGTTTGTTTATAGGATTTTGAGTTATATTCTGTTGAAAAAGTTTATGGACTATTGCAGGTTATAGTTTTTAATGAATTATATAAGTGCATATTTTTACAAATATGTTTATAATAAATATAAATACTATACTCGAACTTTTGTAAAACAAGTTTGGATTGAACGATAAACAATTCAAAATATAGCATTTTGTATTTTAAAAAAATTGTTGTTTCTACTTTAGCAGGCATCAAAAAAGTTTATACGTAAATTTTTTAATGCTTAAAAGTCGAAAAATACTTAAAATGGAAGATTATTGTATGTCATTTTCAATGCAGATTACTCTACTTGCTTACATGAACTGAGTATGTATGTGTGTACACACGCGCACACACACTATGAGTATATTAAATGTATCAAAAATAAAATATTAGTCACATTTATTGCTGGTTTGTGAAATAATGAATCAAAAGACATTATTGACTTTTTATTTTCTAATAACTCGTTACTTAGGTTTTGGCTTTCTTTTTGAGAGTTGCATTTAAATAACAAACCATTCTGCCACTGTTTTGGTTTAAGCTACTTTCATCATTTTTTCAACCAGATGTAGCACCATCTTTTACTTGGTGCTACTTACTTAAATAACAGCAAATAAATACCATAATTTTTTTATAATTTTTTAATATTTTTTTTTATTCTTTTAAATTAGATTGCTGAAGGATTAGCATTTGTTCATAATGATGCAAACATTATTGAAGGAAATTTAACATGTGACAATATTATTATAACAAAAGGAGGGCAATGGAAACTTGCTGGATTTCACTTTTCACTTCCAAAAATGGTATATTTTAGAAAAATTTAATTAACAGTGTTTTTTTTTAAGTAATATTTTACCGATTTTTTGTTTATTAATCTAGACTCAACTGACTTATGAATATACCACTTGTGTTCCCATAATTGCTCGCCCAGATCTCAATTACTTGGCACCTGAATTTTTATTGCGTCAACCTAATGATGAATTTCTTGATTTGAGTGCAACTGACATGTTTTCATTTGGGTGCTTAATCAGTGCTTTATATAACAATTTAAAAACACCTTTTGATACAGGAGATAATATTGCAATGTATAAAAAATGTCTGGAGCAGGTACATTTTAAATCAGGTATATTTTATACTAGATGTGAGTAAATTTCTAATACAATAACACACACAAAAAAGAAATATTTAATTTTCTTTTAAAAATTAGTGTTAAAAAGATACATCTCATTTTGAATTCAAATTGGGTTGTGCTATGTTGATTAAACTTTTGTATTAAAATTAGTTTTTATTGCTGACAGCATAGGAGTGTAAGCAATTGCTGACAAGATAGGAATATAAGCCAAGAACAGCTTGTTTAACCTTAATTTATTAAAAGTTGCCATATTTGTAACATATAATATATCTGTAGTAATATTTAAGTTAATGTGTTGCTTGTAGTAGTCACTGCCATCTAGCATCACTAAATAACCTTGTTGCTTTGGTGTAAGCCACCTATTAGTGTTTATTATTGTTAAAAAAAAACTACTGTTTGTTATTGATGTGCATAGCAGGGTTTATGATAAAGAAGTTTACCTAGCATGTTTGTGCTTGTAAAATCCTATGTAAAATAACCTGGAAATGTTTCCATTGTTTAAATAAGCTTTTTAAAAACCGTCAATTCTGTTTTTGTCACTAAACTCAATAGCTGTTATTCAATAAAAATTATTTATATTGATCTTGAATTGTGATAGTAACCATTATGGTTTTATAATTTGCCATTATAAAACCATACTATTACTATTATTTTTATTATTATTATTATTATTAAACATTATGATTTAAACCTTAATATTTTAATTCATTTGATAAATCATCAGATAAAACTAGAAAAATAAAGCATAGAGTAAGATGTAATATTAAACAACCGCAAATCTCAACATTCTAAAGGAGTTTTAGCGGTAATCAAATATATAAATAAAATTGCAAAGTAAGATATATAATACTTTTGTCTTTTTTAAATTCTTATAAATTAAATGTTTAGCAGATGTATATAAAATCAAGAAGAGGAGGGAGGTGAGGAAGGAGGGAGATGTATATAAAATCAAGAAGAGGAGGGAGGTGAGGAAGGAGGGAGAGTTATATAAAATTAAGGAGAGAGGAGTTTAAAAATTAAGGAGAGAGGAGTTTAAAAATTAAGGAGAGAGGATTTTTAAAATTAAGGAGAGAGGAGTTAAAAAATTAAGGAGAGAGTAGTTTTAAAATTTATAAAAACTTTCAACTTTTTATAGTTATTTTAAAACAAAACAAAAAACTTTAATAACTAATTTTAAAATATCTTTTTTTTTATAAATAAATAAATAAATTTTTAATAAATAAATAAATAAATTTTTTTTTTATTATCAATTAGTTTATTTCTAAATTAAAACATTTAAGTTTTTAAATAATTAATACCTCAAAATTGATTTCAATGTCATACAATATGCAAATAGCTTTAGTATAATTTTTTAATTAACCGAGCAAATTTAGGATCTTGAGTAATTATAATTTTTTTCCTTTAACTTTTTTATTTATAACCCTTAAATTTCCTGGTGTTTAAACAAACAATTTGACTGTTATTACTTTTGCAGAAGCAAATTTATTGTTTTGTTTTTTCATTAGTTTTTGCAATATAATAAATTGATCATTTCATTTAAACAGTGTTCATGGTTTTTAATAAATTGAGAATTTGATGAGCCGAAATATTTCCAATTCGAAATATTTCGCAATTCGCTATCACTTAATTTGAGCCTTGGATCTGCAAAGAAGTGTGAAGGCAGTTCCTGTTTAGTTAGTTGAGCTGTGCTTGCTTCAGATTCAGACTCCGATTTGCTTAATATTTAGGCCTTTCAAACTAAATTTTTCTATAAGATTTGGAGCACAAATGCCAACTGAGTTAGAATCCAGTTGCAACAACCTTGTTGATTAAGAAGAAAAATAATTTTGATTTTTTGAAATTCATTTTTTCTAGTTTGTATTTTTTAAATTATTAAAAATTGTTAATGTCCATTTTCAACCACTAGTATCCAGTTACTTTTACTCTATTATGACATGATTCAAGTCATTCTATGCTGTATAAATATTTACTATTTCTTTATCACTAGTTGTATCATTCTATTTTATCAAATTTTGATAATTATGTTAATTATTGTGTGATATCTCTTTTGTAAAAGCAGCTAGTAATAAGGTTTATTAGTAAATATAAATTACTATAAGTAAATATAAATTACTATAAGTAAATATAAATTACAATTAGTAAATATAAATTACAATTAGTAAATATAAATTACAATTAGTAAATATAAATTACAATTAGTAAATATAAATTACTATTAGTAAATATAAATTAGACAAAGTTTATCAAAATTCAATATGTAATGTTAGGGTATATCAATTTGTAATATATAATTTGTAATTACAAAGTTTTATTGATTTTAAAGAAGTTGCATTTAAAAATCAGTTATAACATTAGGCACCATGAGAAGTTAAGCTAAGTATAGCCTGGCAAACCTTAAAAAAAAATAATCATTATAATCAATGTTTAGCTGCAAACAGTGATAACCACTGGTAGATTACTTTTTTAAATTTTTGTTTAAAAAGCTGCAGGAAATCTTAAATATTCAAATTTTTATTTTGACATTTTTAGTTTGTTCCAACAATTTGTTTCTTTGTTAAACTCATAGTTTTTATTAAATAAATTTAATTTATTACTAAGAGCTTTTTAAAATTGAATGTGAAAATTAATAGTGTTTAACCAGGTCTCAAAAATTAGGTTGAAGGAAAGTAGTACTCAAGTACAATAGTAGTACTCAAAAGTAGTACTCAATTACAATAGCACATGACAATTGGGCTTTTGTACTGTTTCTTTTGTAGTAAGTGTACAACATCTTTCTAATAAAAATATATCAAAGCAGTAAATTAACACTATACACAAGTATATTAGTTTTATTTTCAATATTTTTGTAACATTTGCATTATTAATTATGCATACTTTTATTTTTATTAATTGCACATTAATTTACATATACATACTTGAATAAATCCAAAACTTATTTTTTTAAATTTAAATTACATACAATGTTAATTATATAAACAAGTTAATGCATGTTTTTTCTAATTATGATATTATATTGTTATTATAATTAACAAGAAAGAACAAATAGGTTTTAATCCTATTTGTAATTATTGTTAGTCTTCTTATACTTTTTTTTATTTGGTAACTTTTATTTTGTAATTAAATTATTTTCTGCATTTACTATTTCAAAAAAATGATAAAAGCTGATTTGATTATTAATTTACAAATAAAAACATGTCTAGTATTCCAAATTTTTTTTGGAACTAAAGTCTAAAACAAGATAATAACAGTGTATTAGTAATAGTAAAGTATAGTAGACAGGTGTATTAGACAGTAGTGTCAAAGACTTTTAAATATCAGAAAATAAAAAAAACGCTTTTTGAATTACACAGAATAAATAACCCACTGACAATTTACATGTATTGACATGGGAATTGCAAAAGTTATTTTTTTATTTTTTTTATTTTTTTTTAATTTTGATTCACCCCACCAAGGCCATGAAGGCTACAGTAGAGGAGTTGTAACCACAACTACTTTGGTTGTTTTTACAACCCTTTTTCAACTCTATAACGCCGAAATATGAATTTTGACAAATAAGGCCGCTGTGCAGAGAAACAAATTGAGCGTGGTACTACCAGGAATGTGGTGGGAATTGAGCTCAGAGTTTTTCTCTTTTGCTAATCTAATTTCTGTGCAAGTTTCTAAATCTGGTGAGGTATGTGAAAGGTAGTCAACCATGTATGGATATTGCTTGTATGTTGGAAGTTTCTAACATAAAACTGTTAATTTTAAGTGTACACTTAATGCAATTGAATGTGTTTTGAAGAAACATTAGATATAATTTAATAAAACACTTGATGAAGTAAAAAACAATAAATAGTAATTTTGACAATGTATAAAAAATGTCTGGAGCAGGTACATTTTAAATCAGGTATATTTTATACTAGATGTGAGTAATGTTATTTCTTTTTAAAAAAAGACATTAGAGCGCTAATGGAAAAAGAAAAAAACCTTTAAGGCCAAGATGGACCACTACAATCAAGGAGGCTACTTTATTTTAGGGTTGCAACCCTCTTTGGACAATTTAACCTTCAAACAGAAACCTTGATGAACAAAACCCTTTTGTGGAGAAACAGTATGAGTGTGGTACTACCAGAAATGTGGTGGGAATTAAACTCAGAATTTCTTGCTTATGAAGCATAATTTATCAAATGGATTGCTCATAAACTTGAGTTATCTGTTCTTTATAGCATTAAGTTGAACAATTGTTTTGGAAAAATGCAGGAAATAACAAGGCATGTTTTTATCATGTGCAACTGTAAAAAATGTAAAAAAAACTTTGCAAAGACTTCTTTCTTTCTCTTCACATGCATCAAGAAAATATATCAGTAAGATAGTTGAAATATTTTTTTATAGGTCTTGAGTTAACTCTTTTATGATTTGGTTTTTGAAATAAAAGTTGAAATAAATAAATGAATACTGCAAATATTTCATGAGCAACTTAAATCTGAAATATCCTGTGCTAAATAATTTTCCATTATTGTTGATAAAACTACTGATCTGTCTAATATTTATTAAATGAAAAAGTACCAATGTATCTAATATTTATTAAATGAAAAACTACTGATGCTTTTTAGATTTGTTAAATGAAAAAATACTGATGTTTCTAATATTTATTAAATGAAAAACTACCAATATTTCTAATTAATTAAATGGTCATTTAGTGTTAGTGCTGCTGAGCGATTCAAGGATTTTAAAACTAAAAAAATTTTAATCTATCAAAATATATTTTAAAGATATAAACTTTGTCTAAGAAGATAAAGGGAAACTTCTTTTAAAAAGTTATTTTGATACCAATCTTGATACCATGTGTTCAATGTGCTTTTTTTTTCATTCATTACTGTTACCCAATTCTATTAAATACTTGAGTAATTAAAATTTAGTAATTTGTTTTATAAACTTAAATGACATTTTTTGTTTCAATTTTTCTTTAAATAGTAAAGATTTTGGACAGTTG